TGCGCTGGCTGGGGGGGGGGGGAGGGGCCACAGCGGAATCGCGCTTGTCCTCCCTTCAGCCGCGGGCGGATCTCGTCCTCGAGACAGGCACCCGATGGGTGGGGGGTGTTCATGCAACGGAGGTCGAACTGCCCAGGAGGAATCCTAAATCCATCACATTCACCCAAAACACCATTCTACGATCACGGAGTAGGTTGTGGCCTAAGCGGATACGTTGGGACCGTTGGCATCGAATCCCAACCACACGGGCAGGTGAGACACAGCCTCCCTGGCCTGGCATTGGCCGAGGCAACATGCTCCTGTGAAGAGAGGAGCCCACGCCAGGTGTCTCTGCCTCTCCCAGGCTCCGGGAGAGTGTTTCTTTTGGTCCCTATACACAGCACGCCGGCCGGCGAATGAAGTGCGGGAGTTGGGGGCTTGTATTTGGAGGAGATGGAAAAGAAGAAGAAGAGGAAGAGGAGGAAGAGGGGAGGGAGAGAGGAGGACGGCAATAAAAAAGAAAAGCGGGGCCCCCCTTCCTCTGACCAGCCTTCGCCAAGCCGCCCTTTCAGGAAACCGTGCGAGTGGGGTTCACCTGGCGGATCAAGGACAGGAACACCTCTTCCAGGGTGGTCTGGCTGATGGACCAGTCGCGAATGATGGCGGCCGCGGCTTGCAGAGACTCGGTCTGGTAGGCCGGCTGTGGGGGTTGCTGCTGTGACGGAGAGATCGACGGGGCGCCGGTGGTCCGCGAAGAGGCGAGGGACCCCTGCGACCCCATGGTCAGGGGAGAGGCCGCGCCACTGGCGCCAAAGCCCCCCGGGGACTCGAGCGACAGCAGGGTACTGGGCGGGGTGTCGCGATCGAGGGCCGGGTTTTTGGTGAAGGACTCCAGCCACCGGACGATGACCGGGACGGAATTGGTGGCAATGTGGTTGCCGATGGAGAAGATCAGCGATCCGGCCGAGTCGTCGGTCAGACGAACGTGCGTCATGGCAGCCGTGCCGATCAGCTCGGTCAGAGCCGAGCGAATGATGTCCACGGCGCTGCGATTGGCCGCGGCGGCGATGCTGCTGGCCGTGGCCCCGCGCGTGGCCGGTCCACCACCGGAGGCAGTTCCATCGGCGCCGGACACCGCGGACAGGTCCTTCATTTCCATCGGATCGTCGGTTGAGCTGGCGGCCGGAGCGGCGCCAGCCGGGTCCCCCTGGCCGGCAACCACCTGCAGTGCCGGGTCCGAGGACACGAGAACCGTCAGCTGGTAGCCCGCCCCGAGGGTGGTCTTCAGCCTGGTGGAGGTGCCGAAGGCGCGCAGGCGCCCGAGGGACATGATGGCAATGGTGTCGCCCAAAAACTCGGCCTCCTCCATGGAGTGCGTGGTCAGCACCACCGCACGGCCCTTCTTGAAGCGATCGATGAAGTTCCACACATGCCGGCGATTGACCGGGTCCATGCCGGTGGTCGGCTCATCGAGCACCAGCATGCCCGGGTCACCGAGGGTGGCCAGGGCCACACTCAGCCGGCGCTTCATGCCGCCGGAGTAGTCCCCGGCAAAGCGATTCCGAACGCCCCAAAGCCGGACACAGCCCAGGCGTTCGCGTGCCAGGTCCTCCAGCAGGGCCGGGTCGATGTTCCGGATGCCGGCAAAGAGGCGAATGTGCTCCATGCCGGTGAGCTGCTCGAAGAGGATGTCAAATTGGGGGCACACGCCGAGCGAATTGCGGATGGCCGACAGGCTGTTGGTGACCGATTGCCCGAAGAGGTAGACATCACCACTGGACGGGGCAGTGAAGCCGCAAATCATGGAGATGGTGGTCGACTTGCCGGCGCCGTTCTGGCCAAGCAATGCGAGGCTACGTGGATGGATGGATGAATGTGTGTGTGTGTGTGTGTGCCAACGAGCGAGCGAGGGAGATGAGGCGTGAGGCAAAGGGGGTCAGTGTCAAAGGGACACCGGGAGACGGAGAGGGAAAAAAGACAGAAGGACAGGCGGCAAAGATCCAATGGGAGACCCGCCATTTGCTCGGTGGTGATATCGGGACGTACACCGACCCTGGGGCAATGCGGAAGCTAGAGTCCACCACTGCGACGTTTTCCTTGCCACCGAAGAGCGACCGGTACACCTTACGGAGCTGGGTCACGCGTACGGCAGCCGAAGCGCCATCCTCGGCCAAAGTGGCAACACGCTCGGCGAAGACATCCTTGTCCTCATCGGGGAGTTGGGTCTGTGTCGAGCCCAGGAGGGGGAGAGGGAGGGGCGGAGGATGCGAGGGGACAGCATGGGAGATGGAGTTAGCTTCCCGTATGGGGACAACACTCGGCGGCGTCACGAGAGGCAGGAGGAGAAAGAAGAAGAACACTCGGGCGGGCTTTCAAGCGTGCGCGCGCGCGCGCGCAAGTGTGTGTGTGTGTGTGTGTATACATGCGTGCATGGCTGTGCATGCAGATATACACACACACACACACGGACACACGGACACACGCGGACACACTTGGGTGCACGGGGATACGCACCGGCGGCGGGAAGGACAGCGTCATCTGGCCCGCGGTTGCGCCGCCGCCGAAACCCCAATACGATGGCATGAAGGGGAACCACAGCTTGGCCGACTTGCCATAGGGGCCCGGGATGACCTGGTCGAAGTACCAAGTGAGCAGCATGAAGATCAGGAAGTTGCCAATGAACCAGAAGAAGCTGTCCCGCGGGAGGGGGATGTCGAAGTTGCCGACCGGCGCCGCGGACGGGGGGATCGGCTGGCCAAGGTGCTCCCAGCGGAAGCCCTCCCCGGGGATGAGCATGTCGCTGGCAAAGCTGAAGGCGCCCACCGCACGCGAAGAAATGTCCAGGTAGAGTTTGCCGAAGTTGAAGGGCGGCACCAGGAGGCCCATGATCCCCTGGCCGGAGGGGTGGGTCTGGGCCTCCCACCAAATATACCCGGAGTAGGAGTTGTTGAAGACGGCCGCCTGCAGCAGGAGCGAGATAATCAGCACGAAGAGCCCGACCGTGGAGGCGGTCTTGGCCGTGCGCAGGAGGGTCGACAGGAAGAAGGCCAGCGCGGTGAGCGACAGCTGCAGCATGAAGAACATGAAGAAGACGATCTTGTTGGTTGTTTTTTTTTTGCCCATCGGTCACAGGTTGTCGGGAGGTTAGGGATTGGCCCAGAGCAAGATGGGTGTGAATACGCGTGTGTGTGTGTGCGTGAGGGGGGAGGAGGGGGGGGGGGCTGGTGCATGGGCAAGTTGCAGAGGGTATAGACACGCACCCCGGGGCTGGTTTGGGAAATCCAGCTGATACCGAAGATGTTACCGAAGGCCAGGGTGACCAGGGAGATGAGGGTGATCATGGGCAGATTGCACAGGAGATGGCTGATCCAATAAACCGAGGGCTACCGGCGGTGGCAGAGGCAGGCAGACATGGCGGTGTGTGGGGCAGGTGCACGAGGTCAGCATGCATGGCGATGTGGTGGCCGTGCGAGGCTGGCGGAGGCGCTTGCCTCGGGGCTACCAGCCCTCGGGAGGTGTACACCACCCTCCTGGGGGAGGGGGGGGGG